GTCTAGAATTCATTTGGTCTTTGCGCTAGTCCCTATCACGTAATCCTCGAAGTGTCTGCTAAAAGCTAAACTTTGCTCTTGTTTGCGCGAAAAAGAGTTTCCAAAGATTAAAGTTTGGATGACTACGTTAGAAATGAGCTTTATTATGAGTATTGTAAAAGTAAAAAGTTGTTTAAAAATGTATCAATAAATAACTTTTCATATTGCAAAAATTAAAATAAAGTTATATTAATTTCTTATGATAATATTATCATAGTGGCTATAGAAAAAACCAAATAGTCTTCTAAATTTATTTTAAAAATAATAAACCAATATTGCAAATTCATAAATCAGTTACTCAGACGGGCGAAAATTAGATCCTGAAGACCCTACATGACTTAACTAGGTGGGTGAAACTTGTTCAATCAACTTTTCGATGCTTCCATATCTGCATATATGTTTGGACCAAACAACAAAATTGAGTTTTACGGTGGGGATGCGTCGCCTTCGTCTGAGTAACTCAACAAATATTGTTTTTCTTCCTTTCCGCTGCTCTTTTTTTTTGCTAATTTCGAGAGTATAAGCTGCATCCTCAAACAGAAGTCGGCATAGGCTATTAAGCCACCCCCATAGGGTCGGCTTTGATAGAGTCGATTGTTTGGAATTTGAGGTGCCTGTGCTCTTGAAATCAGCGCAGTAATTGAGGCGGATTTACCATCGCATCTGAAACAAAATGACAGAAAAGAATTTCCACAAATGATCACTCTATGGAGCTCTAGTCATTGTTACTTCATAAGCGTAATGTCTTTTGTCGACTACGGTGGAAACCGCCTTAATTATCGTCTTTGCTGGCTTTAGCTATAAAGCTTTATAGCTAAAGCTAAGGTTTTCTATCCTAGTTATGGCATAAAGTTCCTCAATTCAGGAACAGTGCCATTCTTTGAGGTTTTCTACAAGGACTGTATTTCTACGTATTATGAGTACTAAGTACTGTATAGTATAGGGTCCCCGTGCAATTGTGCGGACGGTGCTGCCGGTGGTGGTGTAAGTACGATGCTGCGCGATCCATTGCCTACATTCTCACCACGTCGTCTCGTGCTACATGGCGCTAGTCATTCCGCTGAGATTGGCGATGACGACCTACCGGAATCGTTCTACTTCTCACCCCGACTGCTTTCAGCAATCAGCGCTAAACATCGTGAACAGCATTTGCCACTTGATAAACATCAACAACGTCTTATGAATATGGCCTCTGCTGCTATTCCTATTATTCATCGATACGATTCGAATGGAGAGCGAAGGATGAGTGAAACTGGTAAGTGTAATTTTGAAGTTTCTGGTATATCTACTAAGAGAATTGCTCAAACCCCCTTTTGATTGACCAATTACTCATGCTTGACATTTAATTTGACGCTATTCATAGTAACCCCAAGTAGTTTTAGCTTATTCAAAATTAGTCGGCAATCAGATCAAATATCTCACACTATTAGTGCACCTTCGCAAATGATAGAATTACCTTCATAGCGTCAAATCGAACTGAGGTCGCTGTTGAACTATCCCAACAACTCAAAACGGAATTTACTTCTAGGAGAATTACTTTAAATGCATCTTATACATAAAAGCTCTAAACCAAAAGTAGTTTGATACGAAGTCTTATAACTATTCGAAATGAGAACTTTTTTAATTCTCCTATTTTGATGACTATAGTGGTTAGTATCGATTCGATAAGAAGTAGGGAATGATCTCCAGTAGTACGATGTGAATACTATTTGTATGATTACATATTTGGTAGTGGAAGCCAGAATACTATGAAAATTTCGAAAACTTGATCGTGTGTGCTTGTTTCGGTATTTAGCAGTTGAAAAACATTGTGCAAAGCAAGCACAACTTTTCAAGCAGCCGGATCTTCAGAATCTTAGAGAACATTAGATTTTTTTAAAAATTTCTAAAAGCCCTCAACCCTAAAAAGTTCTAAAAATTTCAAACTTTATAATTTACAAAATCAAAGAACAACTTCAGCGACTTCCAAGACCTCCAAATCTAGGTTATGTGTCAGAAATAATTTTGTTTGGTAGCTGTGTGCAAAGATGTGAACACCTAGTGAGTGCAATGCGGACAGTAACTCAAAATAATCCAGAACTTGTATATTCCGAATAAGTATGGCCTGAAGCAAG